GGGGAGGGGCGCGGTCTCAAGCGGACCTCGGCCTTCCCGCCCGGCCCCGTGAAGCCGGGGTCTCTTCACGCCCCTCTTTTCCCCCTTGCAGGGCTCCGGCCGGTGTCCGCCAGGCTGCCCACCGTGCGCCCCTGGCTGAGGCCCGGGCAGCCGGGCCTGGCAGCTCCGGCCCTCGTCCCCGTGGGTCGCTCGGGGCCCGCCCTCCCGGGTGCGACCCAAAAGGGGGCAGCGGGGGAGCGAGCAGGGATATTCCCGAGCTCTGGCTGGCTTGCGTTGGTCTGAGTTACTCTGCTTTCGCTGTGTTTGTTATCTTGTCCCTTCACGGCAGAAGGTGAGGCTCCTGTACGGAGTATCTTCGCTGCGCTGCTTACCGTCAGGAGTACTAGAGGAAGGCTTTTAGGTTCTTTTTTTTTAGCAGATGCAGTATCATTACTTTTAACATATTCAATAGATTTGTAATTGTTGTAGAAAGGAGGGGAAACTCTACGGAGTTCACTTTCTTCTCCCATCATTAGTGTCCCAGTGCTTTCCCAGTAGGCAAAAATAGATACAAACTTGTTCTCATTTTCCCTTGTAGCCCAAAGAAGAAACATTGTATGGGTGTTTGTGAAATAACTTCTAACCTACTTGTGTTCATCAAGATATTTCTCATAATCAGAAGTGTATCATCTTAACAGACAGGAAAAGCAGGGGTTTCTTGGTGACAGGTTGTTTGTATATGGATGCCTTTCATCAACGATTTGAATAATTCCACCGTTTTGTAGGCTGGGAATTCAGTCTGTCTCTTGCATGCTCTGTGTGATTTTTTTAGTTCATCCCACAAGTTTCTAGGACAAACAATTAAATTTTCCATTGAAAATGAGCTGTTGCAAAGAAAATGTGCTAAATAGCCTTTGAAAATTAATTTCACAGCGTTAGGATGTTATTTTGCTGAGTCAGTGACAACAGAAATGCAGGAACCTTGGTTTTCCCAGAACTTAAAAGTGTATTTTATGGTTACATGCAACATCTGCTCACTTCTTTTTGCTTTGCTCTTTTTTTTGGTTCCTATCTCTTTATATTTCCTTTTTTGTTGTTATAGGTTAAATTGAATATCTGCGCAACACAGCTTCTTGCAGAAGAACCACCACACTGTTTTACACTTAGGAAAATATGAGAATAAACAGGGAGTGTTGTTCTCTCTGAACTAAAAATAATCTGTGCCTTGCTGAGGACAGCGGCAGGAATCAGACACTTGAATCAATGTTATCGGATGAGTTAGAATCCAAACCTGAGGTGAGCAATTATGAACTGGGTTTGGTTTCCAGGAACATTTATGGGCAACACTTAAAAAAAGGTCAATGATTTTACTCAATTTGCTGCTTACATGTTAATTCTCAAAGTGTTTTCAGTGGCGGTTTCTAATGTTTTGATTTGAATGGTAAAAGATTAAAGAACATTGCAGGTTTTTTACCTTGCTTTGAAGTGTCAGCCAATACACTTGCCTGTTCTCAGGTTACATTATTTTTTTTCACTATTATAATGTTTTTTTTCTGTTACAAGAATAAAATAAATTACTGTATTGACTACTTCTTTCCCTCAAACCAAATTGACTTTACTTGGTTTTGGGGAGTCTGGATTATTCCATAAACATCAGCCAGTTCTTTTTTTTTAAAGTACTTGTGTTTCCATTAAGCAGTGGGCAGAAGTGGTAGGCAGCAGCATGTAGGGAATCCTGGTTGCTTGGTGTGAGGCTGCTGGACCGTACCCAGGTTCAGCTGGTAGCACGGTTGAGCATGAATTGCACTGATGTATGTGTGCGCATACAGGGCACGCACACCTGGCCACAAACAGATTCATGCATACACAGATAAAATACCTTTAAGAGATAAACACAAACAGCGTGAACAACATGAAAGCTTGTCTGTGCAATATATCTATACCCTCATCACTCAACTCACACATACTCATATTCACAGATGTCTCTGGTGTCTGCCAGGCCTAAAGTCTTTCTGGTATCTGAGCCCAGACCCAGGGCTTTTTAGCCAGTTTCTGGCTGGAATCTTGCGTTTTTCCAGACTGGTTGTCTCCTACTCACAAATCAGTCAACTAGAAGTTCACTAGAAGTGCAGTCACATTCAGGGAGGTTATTTAGGAATACATTTAGTAAGTAGATGGGACTGCAGTGATCAGACACAGCAGCGTACTGACCAACAGCCAGCTAATGTATCATTGGAGTCTCTTCTCTCCCCTCTACCCACGGTTCTTTTTCCACTTGCCCACCTCAATTCCTCCTTTCATCCTCCCCCTAAACATTGCATAATAAATTTTACACATCCTGCAGTCCCTGTTGCATCTGGTAAGAAGTTTGGGCTTTCCTATAGCCCAAGATAATTTTGTTTTCTTACCAGTTACAAAAGTTCTGGTTGAACCTCCTCAAGATTTCACTTCATCAGTGGCCCATGCATAGTGTCTGAGGAGTTCTGGTCTTTGTTACTCTAACCTGTAATTTGCTAGATACAACTGTCTGCAGTTACATTCCACACAACTGTATTGGTGTGTTCAGTTTATTACTGTTCCTGTTTCTTGCCTTTGCCTTTTAGGCTGAGTAGCCATTTAGCCAGCTACTTAAAAGTGCAGAGGACTGCATCGTCTTGTGTCCTTGCTTTTTTCATTCTTAGCTTTACCTCTTCAGAAGGCTAAGGTCCTAGAGCAGAGGACTTAGTACTGCTATGAAGTACCTTTTGGGGAAGTTCATGAGTGTAAATAGAACTGTTTTTACTGAGTCTTCTGTTTCTATCCCTTTTCAGTCCATGTGCAATACAGCAGGTATCGAGTTCCAACCCCCCTGCCATGGGCAGGGACACCTCCCACTAGACCAGGTTGCCCAAGGCCACGTCCAGCCTGGCCTTGAACACCTCCAGGGATGGAGCCTCAACAACCTCTCTGGGCAACCTGTTCCAGTGCCTTACCACCCTTAAAGTGAAAAACTTCTTCCTAATGTTTAATCTAAGCCTGCCCTCTTCCAGTTTATAGCCATTAGATGCTGGTAATTCGTCACAACCCAGGTGATGTGGCAAGGTATTTGTTTCTTAACAGAGCAGCCAAAGTCCTTCCAAGCACACCATTCAAGAAAACTAGCTGCAAGTTCACAGTAGCCCTGAGTAGTCTCAGTGTGGGCTGCAAAAAGAGTTCCTTCCTTTTGCCTTGTAGTGGATATCTCATAACTTGTATCAAATTTTCCCCCAGTTTTGAATAAGGTGGGGGACTTCATTACTTAAGTCTGTGAGTGGGTGGATTCCCATAGATTATTTCTGACAGCCAGGGACCAGAATAGTTGGAATACTTGTTCCCTCATTCCTCAAATAGGAGCTGTAAGTGAGCCTTGTTTTCTTGACTTCAGTAAGGTATTTGTTAATTAGACATGTTTACATAATAGTCCTGTTTCCGCATAGCAGAGTTGCATTTCCTTCGCAGCAAGCCCAAAACAGAGTAGGCCATTCTCAGTAGGAACAGGCCTGATGCATGAAAGCTGTGGTGGTTGCAGAGGGCATCCTTTCCATAGATGCCATCTTCTAAACCATGTTCTTCAATCTTGATCAAGGCTGTTTATACTACAAATTGGGATTCACTTGCATTGTGGATTACCAGATCTATACACATCCTCTTTCTGGTTCTGATTGTGAAAGTTGGGTGTTAAGTTAGTACTATTTTCTACTTCTTTAATGTGAAACTTCTTACACCTTCCCAAATAGCAGTTCAAGTATCTCTGAAAGTCAGCTGTAATTTTTATATCCTCTGGTGAGCCATGGCACCATAATTCTCATAGCCACTGATGTTCTTTCATATGCCCTACCATGGGAGAAAGGTATTAATTAGGAGCTAATTGTATTTGTGTAACATCTAGATAATATTAATCAAAGCACTATGGATGGATGGATAAGCTTCTTTACTACTGGTTTTAACCTTAAAGAAGCCACCAATGTGCCAATAAACGTTTAATACTTGAGTGGAGGTGAATCCTCTGTTCATAGGAAGTTACAAAGCTGTTGGGAGATGGTTTGTGCAGGCAGATGGATCTGCTTTTTTTCCCCCCCGGCTCCCTGCCCCAAAGCTTTATTACCAGCATTCCTCAGGGAACTGATAAGATCTGCGTTTTGCATGCTTTGAGCCTTAAGGGTGATTTGTTACAGTTGCAAATATTTCCAGCCACCCCCACCACACTGGTCCACTGCGGGGTGCTTTCTGCTGTCGGGGGTAGTTTTAGCACAATCAAGTGAACTACAACTCTGGTCTACAAACAGAATTGGCTGCTGAAAATGGGGTGGAGGGAGGTATTTTAGCCTCTCCTTTTTCTCCTCATTAGCACCTCACTAGGAGAGACTCTTGTGAATGAACTAATTCTCCACAGGTTGTATGGGAGGAGGGCATCCTAGTTTCCAGCTAACAAGCCTCCTGCCCTCCACATCCTTCAGCTCCAGCCCCTCCTTTCCCCTCCCCCCCCTCTGCTAAATGTTCTTTTGACCTCTTTATTTTGTAGTGGCTCATTGGTTAAATTTAGAACAGAAGTAGTATCTATTAAAACCGTGGTCCCTGCTGCTTTGCAAGTCTAGTCTAGCTCTGCAGTGGGAGGATGGATTTTACCATTAGCAGCTGGGCTGGGACCCCTCTCCCTCCCAGCCACCCCAACCTCAAACAAAGCAGCTGCCTGACACTTCTTGGCTTTTGAATCATCTGATCACAGGGGTCTGTTACAGGACACAAACTTCAACCCGATCCATCCCAGACAGCCATATTTTCATTTGTTTCTCTAGTGTTCTGTATTATTTTTAGGATCTCTAGTAGGGGTTCCCAGTTCTTTAAACAGATTTTTTGATTCTGCCGCCCCCCTTCCCACGGGTCAGGGACACTATGCAAGCTTTTTGGTAAAACAAGCATTCTGCACTGCTTGTGGTGATAGACCCTGGGATCATCCTGTCCAACCATCTTTTATTGCCAAGCAGGGATGACAACTATTTGTTTAGTGACAAGAGCCAAGAAATATTTTACATTTTTAGTACATACAGTGTCTACATTACTTACAGGATTTTCAGAGTTATGTGGTGTTTCAGCAGAAGGAGTAAAAGGAGGGTATATTGAAGAAGGTGGTATGGCAGAGCCAACAATAAAATTATTCATAGCAAGATGCAGCTAAACTTTGCTCATTTTGTTTCTCCAAGGCTTATAGATTTTCTCTGAGTGATTCACATCTGGCCCATAAAGTTTGAATCTTGAAGTTGAGGATGTACTTTTGCAATTAGTATTAAAATTTGTTTTGAATTCCAAGGGATATCTTGGCTATAGAGTAAAGCCACTTTATAGCTCTTATCATTCCTTTTGTGTTCTGTTAATATTCTGTACATTTGGTTTCCCTAACTATTCCTATTCAGGTGTCCCAAGGTGTTCTGTCTGCTTGGTTACAAATTCTAGCACTTTGGCCATATTGTGAAGGATCTCCCCTCCTTACATAGGGATTCTATAGACACCATCTCAAGAATACTTACAGCCCATCTGGACCCTGTTTGCGATGCCAGATATTGTGTGGTTATGAGATCTGACAAACTGTAGCATCCAGGAGATTCTTCCCCTCCTGCTCCTTCAGACAAGAGACCATGGGACTGTTCCCAGGTGCAGGCAGAAGGCTGAGCCTGAACTGCAAATATGCACCCATGCATACATAGACAGTACAGATACGTATGGCTGTAAACACTAACATATGGCAGGACAGTTCCTTTACAGGCACTCACAAACACAAATGGCATTCACATGGAACAGGAAGACCACCAAAGGCCTAATTCTGTTCCTACTCATCAGGTAATCAGGCCTGAAATTTGCTAGCGTATCACACAAGTGCCCTCTCTCAGCTGACATGCATACTCACAGTCATGGATCTGTCCAGTCTCTGCATAACCTTGAGTCCTTTCAGTATCCATCTCCAGGCCCTGGGCTTTTTAATCCAGCCTCCGGCCAGGATCCTGGGTTTCCAGGTTGTGTATTCCTCCTGTTCACAGGCTAGTCCAACTTGAAGTTAACTAGATGAACATACTCGGAAACTATTTGGGAGCAAACAGCAATTGAGAAGAAGACAGGATAGACTACAGTGATGAGGCAGAGCAGTGTGCTGACCTGCAGCCTGCTATCATGTGGGTGACCCTTATTATCCCTCACCCCCTTCCCGTTCCCCATGGTTGTTCCTTTCCTATCCACCTTGATTCTTCCCTTTCCCCGCCTGTGATCCTTCCGCTAAACATCCAGAAGTTTTTCCACATCCCACAACCTCCTCTTAAGACATCTTATTATTAAGTTTTACCTGGTCCAGGAATTCTCCCCATATTCCACGAGAAGTTTGCTTTTACCTACAAGATATGCTCTAGTAACCCATGATAATATTGTTCTTGTCTCTTACAAAGTTTCTGGTTGATTTTCTTCAAGGTCACACTCAAGTCATTCTTGTAATGACCCATCCATCAATGTCCCAGGAGTTCTGGTCTTTATTACTCTCTCTTATCTGCAGTTTGTTAAGAGTTTGTGTATCTGCACATTTAATTTACCACCTTTCCTCTTCCTAGTCTGTCTTTTATGCTGAATAGCCAATTACTAGATACCCTTACAATTTCCTATTTGCTTTCAGCTGCAAAACCAAATTAAAAGAAACTTATTAAAGCAGCACACCGTTTGTAATTAGCTTTTTCCCCATATTCTGGGTGCTGTAGTTGTCACAAAGGTATTCAACGATTTTGAACAGGAAGGAAAGTTTCTGAAAGTACTTGGCCGTCAAGATACAACTGTCACATGAAAATTTTTATCTTTCTCTGAATTATTTGATGTGGGGTTGGGAGGGATATTTAGTGATTTGTTTGCTTTAGTTTATGGAAAGGGCTGGGTTTTTTTGTTCCAAATTTTAACAGCAGGCATGATTCATGTCCTTTTGTTTACTTTTGCTTCTTTTGCCCCATTTTAATTCTCTGTACTAGCTTGTTACTACTTTACAAAGAAAACTAAAAGGATCTCTTTTCTTTTGAACATCTGTTTGTGGCATTTTGCTTTTCCCTTGTGGCTTAATGTTGCTGTGTGGAAATGGAGGGTTTGAAGCAAAGCTTTCCTATTGTAGGAGGAAAGTTTTATCTGTGGCTTTCTGTATAAAAATAGAAAAGTCCATAAAACAGGTGTTTCGCGGTGGAGTATGCAGCAGTAGGGATCACAAACAGTTTTTAAATGAAAGACAATCCAGTAATTTAGAACCATCTTGCTGCTCGCATTTTTTAGCCCAACTTCTGGCTGCCTTGCTCTGTTATTCTTAACTCCCTTCTCTTTTTACCCCTCTTTCTCTTATTTTTTTAATCTTAAATTAGAATGCATGGCCTTGGGGGAGGGACTGTCTCAGATTGCCTACGCATTTTTTGACAACATAAAAATAGTTCCCTCTTCTAACCAGGGCCTCTGGATAAACTTAAAATATACCAAAGAGGAAAAAAATGCTAACCTTTCAAACTGCAGTCTGGCTCACAGCCTAGTTCAAGTGGCATATTGCCATCTGAATGACTTCAAGACTTAATTTTTACCTTTATAATTACCAGTGATGACAGGCTGCTCCTAAGGGAGGGTGAGCTGGGAGCCAGCGGTGTCCTCACTGACCAGGGCATAATCCTACAGCAACCTGAGCACAGCAGAGACAGGTGCTGGAAACAGGGTCCATCCACACCCCTGGACAAAGCAAAGTGATGAACCAGGTCCAGGGTCTATCCAGAAAGTTCAGTCAGGAGCAGCTGAAGACACTGATGCAGTAAAAGTCTGAGGTCCATCCAGGAGACAAGGTCTGAGACAGGTAAACCTACAACACACCTCAGAAAAGGACTAGAGAGCACAGCCTGGGTTTAAATGGAGCCCCTGGGCAGAGGGTGTGGGTGGGGGCCCCAGATGAGACCTATGCAGGGCAATTATGGCCTCGGGGCTGTGACAGCAGTAACTCTTTCAGGTAAAACTGAGGAAGCATCAGTATTTCTAGTGTTTTCAGAAGAGGAAGTAAGTATAGAGAGATCAGAGCCCATTTTTTTTTTTTTTTCAGTTTCTTTGATTTAATGAACTTTGTCCAGATATAGGAGAGTCAAAAAACTGGTATCTGCTATAGAAATAATTTGGAATTGGGTGCCAGTAGTTCTGAAAATTAAACACTAAGACAATCACAACATACAAAATAAGAATCAAATTATTGGTGACTGTTGGATTTTAATCACAAATATACCATGGCCATATCATGCTTTTTTACTCTGTTTCTTTTGACACCGATGAACCATGTCACTGCACAGACAATTGTCTGGGCTTCGCATAAGTGCATGCTAAAATGTGTCACAATGACAGTAGTAGCTTTTGAATAACTGTCTTGCACAGTTTCCTTCTAAATTCCAAAGATAAAGGAAGTCTGTTGCATACAGTTGTTTGCTAGGCAGCGGCAGAATGCAAGATCTTTATGTCAAGGAGTTTCCTAGAGATAAAGAATAGTGACTCTAGGGTTAAATCTTTGGTATATTATTATTTTCCATATTTCTTTCATCAGTGTTTTTCAAAATATTTTGAGAATGTGAATATAGGAGTAGGTCTGTTTGAAGGAACTTACAGCCAAATAAATAGATCCTATGTATGGTTTTTGAGGGGCATTTTCCTGATATGTGGAGTACGTGTCTTGAGTTTGTTACAGCTGACCCCTCTGTCTTTCTGGTTTCCACAAGTTTAATTCCATACAGGGGAGGGATTTGAGACCCAATTTGTTAAAAAAGCTTGTGCAGTTCACAGAACAATTAGTTCAGTCCATTGAAAAAGTTGGGCTGTTATCTCCTAACTCCTAGCAGCACTTCCTTTGTTAAATCAGAATATTTTAGTATGGACTGCTGTGGCGCCGGTAATGGAAAAAAAAAAAGAGTCTAATTTCTGTGTCTGTGCCTTGGAGGCAAAGAGGAGTCCAGCATTATATCCAGTAGTTTGACAAAAGCTTGAGATGTTGTCAAGGGGACAGAATGAGTAAACAAGGTGCATGCTTTGCTGCTCTGAACTTGGTTAAATATGGGAAGACTTTCAGGGGTGAGGAAAGGCATTTCTCTGACTTCCAGTTCCTTTTCAAATGTCAGGTTCCTTTTTTATAACTCAAGATTTTTAGGAGTTAGCCAGAAGTAATGTTTGCATTGCCAGAGCTGACTGATGTTAAGGATAGCTAAATCTGCTGGACTGAATCACCCCGGCATCTCTCACCTCCTGGGCCCATCAAGATGAGGGCTGTTCCCTATATCTGATCTTAGATCCAGCCACTGGTGAAGTTTGGTAGAATTTTCAAATAGGTGCGCACTGTACAGATGTGACTGGTGCGAAACAGATTAACAGAGGTAGGATGCTTGTAGCTTTACCCACGTAAACACAGGCAGCGCAGAGTGCTAGATTCTGTTTCCAAGGGTTGCTGCCTAGAGAAAACCTTCATGGGTTTCTCCAGGATATGTCCCCACATCTCTTCTTCCGCTCGCTAACTAGTCTGGCTTGGAGTTCACTAACATATGACACACACCCTAAAGAGCGGGATCACACAGGAAATAGTTAGGAATAGAGTTTAATAAGAACACAGGACAGACTTCAATGGTTCGGCTGTGCCAGCCAACAGAATTGACCAACTTCCTGCTCACATTTAACGGGCCTCTTTTATTCTCCCCCCTCCATTTTCCTGTGTTTGTTCCGCCCTTGATTCCAGCTTGATTCCTTCCTTTTTCTGCCTTTGGCCTTTCCCTTAAACAATGCATAATAAATACTATACAATCCCCCAAACCTCTTGTTCAATCCCATGTCCTCCCCGGGGAATGCATCCCAGTATAAGTCCTATACTTCTTTATGCAATAGACACCCTTATTTTGCATAGTATTCTGGAGGGAGTTTCTTCTGTTGAATCCCCTTAGTGGGTGGGTTTCACACTAAGGACAAAGGCTTCAATTGTCCATCTTTGATGTTTTTAGGAATAGCTGATTTGGATGGATAAAGCTGTCTGTGTTCTCCCCCTTGTCATCCCAACCTGTTCCTCTGATCATTATCTGCCTATTTTGAATAGCCATTAACTAGACATCTTTGCAACTAGTCTTTTGCTTGCTTTTTTATTTTAAAAAGGCCAACTTTCAGTTAAGTATTTAAAGGCGATGATTTAAAAAAATACCTGTACTAAAGGCTGAACATGGAAAACATTTACTTGTAAGGTTAGAGCTCAGTAAAGTATCAAGTGATAAAAGATGAATTAAAAAGGCATACATGCCTTAAAACATGGCATATATTGGTTAAATTTATCATGGTGAAAGACTAATAAGAAGGACTACAGCCTAATTAACTCTCAGAGTAGTCTGCAGTGATCCAGAACCGTTTCTTGTATGTTAAAGAAATGATGACAAATACAAACAATTCCTTTTTTGTCATTGAAAATTGAAAAGCTTCCATTTACTTTGATGTGTATTCATGGGATTATATTCAGCTTCTCCTACAAGACAGTAGCGGGTAATGGACCGGGTTTAGTACTTTTTAAATGATCGGTGCTGCTCTTGACCTAATCTGCAGTATCTTTTTTTCAGCTGCTGGTTCAGTTTGTTCAGAATACTTCTATTCCACTGGGGCAAGGGCTGGTGGAGTCGGAACCGAAAGACATCACCTGTCTTTCTCTCCTTCCTGTTACTGAGACCTCAGAATGCAACAGACTCATGTTGCCAGGTAAAATCTATGCGAGTGTACCCTTCATACAGCTGTCTTACTGCACCCCTGTGGTGCACTGCCTCTTGCTGATAAGGCATCCCAGGGACAGAGGAACAAATTCAGAAGGGTGACTGAAACTTTTCTCAGTTAACAGTGAAGTCTGACTAGGTAGAAAATTCCTTTTTCCTCCAATCTCTCTCAAGTTATTTTTTTTTTCCTAGAAAAATCATTTCGTCAGTATCTTTTAGGCATAGTGTATTTACGCTTTTATTTACTCTGGCTTCACTTTCTTCACTAGATGATGAAAGAGATCTCACTTCTCCAAGTCACACTAATTCTCCCAAAGATGTTTCTTCATCTGCTGTCTTGAGAAGTCTCCAGGTAAATGTGGGCCCTGATGGAGAGGAAACAAGGGCACAGAATGTACAGAAACCATCTGAACTTCTGTCAACTCCAGAGACTTCCAGTTTATTGCAAGACCTCCAGCCCAGTGACAGCACTTCGTTTATTCTTCTCAACCTAACAAGAGCAGGTAATTCTCCTTCTGTTTGTCATCTGGCTGGATATGTCTCAGACAACAGAATGCAGGAGATACAAGTACAACTCTGTTCCTGCTGCTTGTGAAGGGGAAAGATCACAATATTTACTGGGCATTATTGGATATTTCGGGAGCATTTAATCGTCAACAGCTTCCTACAATGTAGAGGTCAGTGAAGACTTTTTCAGTGCAGCTATTGCATCTGTGCTGTGAACATTAGCCTCTGTGAAGCAAAAGAAATTTCCCTCTGTTACGTTATCCTTCTGTTTCATGAAGTTTTCTTCTTTTCTAGGGCTGGGGTCTCCAGCAGAGCACTTGGTGTTTGTTCAAGATGAAGCAGAGGACTCTGGGAATGACTTTCTGTCTCACGATAGCACAGACAGCAGTACCCCATGGTTCCTACGAGTGCAAGAATTGGCCCACGACAGTTTAATTGCTGCCACTCGGGCACAGCTCGCTAAGAATGCCAAAGCAAGCAATAATGGTAGGAAATCCCTTGCTTCTGTCTCAAAAGTTGAATGTCCGTGCAAGGCCCCTAGTTTCGGCTTGTTTCTTCCTCTCTATTTCACTCTCTCATGCTCCTAATCTATTCTGACATGTCTTCAAATCATCAGTGACAGAATTACACAGAACAATCACGTCATTTTCCTGCAATATAAATAGGCTTCTCAGTTTTTCTCAGGGAATTAACTTCAGTGGAGCCAGCAGTTCCATTGTAGTCTGCCGGTTCTCTGGAACATGTAAAGAGTATCTTCTGTCTGACTGCAGCTGCTTGTATTTCAGCTTTCATTTTCACTTTCAAGTGTCTATTTTTAAGGCATACTGTAATTCATACTTTCTTCTTAGCTCCACTGGGTTTGGAGATCAGCTTTCTGGAGAATTGGATTTAGTGACATGCTTTCTGACTTAATTATTCTAATAAATAATTGCAAACAAATGCAATATTTCTTTTTTAGCTAAGGCGTTTTTAAAAAAATAGTTATCCTGGCTGATATTTAAAATTGGTTGGTTGATATTGATACAGAAACCACTTTTACAAGTTTTGATGCATTGGCTTTCTATTGTTGTGATAAGCCTTATCTGGTAGGAGGTGATCTGATGCAGATAGCTTGTTGGGAATAGTTTATGGGCCGTGTAAGGTCTGCAAATCTGTGTCTGATCCCTGTTACGGGCTAGGCAGCAGTATGTAGGACACGGTAAACAATTAGTAGCCAGGCATATACTTGCTTTACAGTCCTGTGTCATATATGATGCTGGTTTTATGTATTAAATTTGACGCATTATAGTAATCTGTATCTTTTTTACATTTTTCTGGGCCTTTTCTTCCAGGTGAAAATGTTCATCTTTGCTCAGGAGATGGGCAGCCGAAAGACTCTAGCCCCATTCCTCATTTATCTCGCGTGGAAAGGAAGCTGAAGTGCACAGTTGAGGGATGCGATCGGACATTTGTGTGGCCAGCTCACTTCAAGTATCATCTGAAAACACACCGGTGAGCTCAATAAAGCTATATGTTGTCATGACTTTTAAAAACTATGCTCTGTATTTGGGATAGCATTAGTTTTTTACATCGACAAACTGGGTAAACATGGTATTACTCTTAGAAATACTAGGCTTGTTGCTTCCTTTAGGTCATTTATGTTGAAACACTTTGACTAGATTTAGATTATTTTTGCAAGTCCTTGTTAGTGTTCAGTTTAGAGTATTTGTATTTTAACAGGTGCTCAATAAAGAGCATCAGTATCACTTCTGTGGTATAGTGAACATTAGAACTTATAGGATGCTATCTTATTTTTATATATCCTTGAACAAAGTTGCGTGCTCTAACAAATTACCCTAATCTTTTTTAGCTAACAAATTGGCAGTCTCTAAGGTAAATTGTAGACAAGAAGCTTAAAAACTGGGAAGAACTCCAGTAGACATGACCCCATCATCTTGCCCTGAGACAGGGCCAGCAGTAATTGAGTATGTTATGTGTACACTTACAGTCATTTTTGATCCTCCAGTGACTGAAATTAAATTCCACAACATTCCTATATAATCTGTTGCACTCCTTTACTAGATTATTCTGGGTAGAGAATAGGCAAGGTAACGTGATGAAAAGATATTACCTGAACAAATTCTTCCTGTGGACCACCCAGACTGTAGTTCCTTAGGACCTAGGTCACTCACTTCGGTTGAGTCTCCGTTTTCTGATATAGTTAATCTCGTTTTAAATGTTTCTGCTTTTTATTTAATCAATAAAAGAAGTGGAGTGTTCATGAAAAATACATTGCAGTAGCTGGTAATGACAGGTATTTTGTCGATTTCCAGGAACGACCGCTCCTTCACCTGCCCAGCAGAAGGCTGTGGAAAAAGTTTCTACGTCTTGCAGAGGCTGAAAGTGCACATGAGAACTCACAATGGTGAAAAACCCTTTGTGTGCACAGAGCTGGGCTGTGGGAAGCAGTTCACAACAGCTGGAAATCTGAAGAACCACCTACGAATTCACACTGGTGTGTTTTAGACCTCACCTATTTGTGGTCTGCAGAGGTGGGGTCTTTACTGAGGAATAAATCGCTTCCTCCTCTGTCCTCAAACTTTTGAGAATATTACGTGGTTTATCTCTGCCCTTCATTAATGTCCCTTTTTCTGTCAATTCATATTGATCTATAGGTCAAATTAATCAACTGCTTACCCTCTTTACTATCCTGTATAATTTCACACAGGTTTCACCCTTCCAATGCTACGTGATGATGCTGTACTCTGCTCAGACCCGTGCTCTGAAGATTCCCTTCCCCCCTCAAGTTGTTTGATGGAGGGAGGGATGTGAGTTGTTTTGGGGAGAAACTGTACTATTCACTAACGGAATAGTTAGTGAACACAACTGCTGTAATTGTTTTTTATAAAGAAACAATTTTAAATTCCTGAAAGGCACAATAGCTTAACTGTACTGACATCTGGCTGAATCTGACTAGTTTATGTTACCTGTGCTGCTTGTGGAGTGATTACATTTGGGAAGTAAAGGGAAGTGAGGAATATAGTGGAATGAGTAGCAAGAATATAGTAGCTGAGTCTAGTGGAAAAAGGTAATAATTAGAAGGCAGCATTTTGGCATGCAAACTGCTCCGTTTGTGCTAATGCTAATTCGGGATGTTACCATATGCTGGAGCCTATGTACTCTTAACTCATGCTCAGCTTTTTATATTAAATAAAACAAGAACCTTTATTTCATACTGCTGTATTTTATACATGGTTTGTTTATGCAGTCTCCTCTGGAGAATTTGATCCCGCCTTGTTAATATTTTTAGAAGTTGGTGTACCAGCCAAAGTCTTGACAACCGCATAAAGTCTTAGGTGTTTTTATCCTAGAAAGTTGTTTGAGAGAGGCACACAAGTTTCTGCTGAAATGATCAGCAATTTAATAGTTAGCAAAATTCATAGTGAATATTCTGGTGGTTTTGTTTGGTTGTTTTTTTAAGACTCGGGGTTATCACACCGCTTAAACAAATGACACAGTTCAAGCCTCTCAGAAGATTGTTAAGAGATTCCCTGATGGCTTAGGAAGGTAGCGTTGCATTACAGTTGGTTAACATTTCAAAATAACCTTGACAACTGGGAGAGCATGACGCCTCTCCAGTAAAATGAAATCGCAGATTATGTGGGCCGCCAGCAGCTGTTTACGCCTTCTGCCTTACACATGGAAAAAGGTTGCTATTTTAAAGAATTTGCAGTCTAGCTAGAACACACAGTTTGGGGACAGATGTTGGGTTGTAGTTAAAAATTATATATACCAATAATAAAATTTTGAATGTGTAGTAACAGCAGCCATAGATTTTACAGTTTTCTTTTGCACATAAAGCTCCCAGCCAAGGCACAGATGAAGTTAATAGGCCCAGCTGACACATGCAGAATCCTTCATGATCGAGTGAGTGTTCTGCAGCTGACGGAATAGTAGCTTCTGGAGGAGCAAATAATAACTTTCTTAACTGCAAATTGATAATGTGCAATTAGGAGTTTGAACAGACCAAAGGTGTTATAAAACTGCAGGTGTAAATAGATCTGGGGTTTCTTATAGGTGGAACTGTGTGCTGTTGTTTTTGTCAATGGTAGTTTTTCTTCCTTCTTTCCAAGTTTTAAATATTTATAACAAGCTGGAAGGTACAATCAGTGTTTGAGAATCTGCTACATATTTCAGCTTTGTAACACCAATCAGAACATTCTGTGTTGATCCTTTTTGCTCAAATCCATTGAATGCTATAGCAGATAGGAAGCTGAGAAATGAGCTGGACTTCTAAAGGCAAAATCACAGTAGAAACAATTTTAAAAACAATTTTACTCTGAAAGAGCTACGTATATGTTAGACAATAAAATAGGCAAAATAGCTTTCTTAACTCCTGTGGACTTGCTGTTACTCTAATACAGTAGTCTAATTAAAGACTTGAAATCATAGTGTTAAACATGGTGTATTGAGTTCTTTAGCGGGATGTTGCAGGCAAAAGTTACCTCTAGTTTAATTTAAGGCTTTATTAAGAGGGTGTTTAGAACAGATTAATTATATTGCATTGCATTAGTGTAGTCACCTCCCAATTCATCATCATTTAGACAAATACAAAAATAGCTGTGGAGATACATAAAAATAACAAAATTCAGCCTATGAGAACAATTTGTGCCTTGAATTAGTGTTCCTCCACACATTAATATAAATGACTGACACATCTCTCACGGGATTTTTGCGAAGTTCAGCCTGATTTGAAATATAGTATAGAATCTGATATGAAGAGAAATACAGTTAATGGGATTTTTGGCACTGAGCTGCAGAAAAGGAACAGGATCCTGGGAGTGTGTGAAGCTGAGAGCTGGTTGTTAAGAACTGCATATAGAGATACATCATAGTCCGGGCACTTCTATATTACTATTTTGGTATAAATACCAAATACTTGGAAGATCTACTTAGAAACAGTGGACCCGTGCTTCACTTTCAGTCAACTACGATCTAAGAATATTTCAGAAAGAATGTCATCATTTCCTCTTGAAAGCTAATGAAGAGAATGCTTTAAAAGCCTTAGGAAGCATGTGTATAATTTCCATTGAGCTTTGTTGCATGTAAGGCCAAAAGGGAGGATGGGGTAGAGGTCTCCAGGCTGTTCTCAGGGACTTGGACAATCAGATCAAGTTGTGATCCCAAAATGTAAGAGCTTACTTTTCCCTTGTAGGGGAAAAACCCTTTCTGTGTGAGGCACAGGGATGTGGTCGCTCCTTTGCAGAATACTCCAGCCTTCGGAAACATTTGGTTGTCCACTCAGGTAAGAGTCTTCATCTGACATTCTGTGACCTATCTGAGAAAAGATCTTTATTGTAGGACTTCGATTGGATTCCCTCAAGAAAAATCCCCTGTTTTCTACAGGACTTCTAGTCATAGTGTTTCATGACTTCCTTTGTGGCATCTGTAGCTTGCATACTTTAATCTTTTCTGTTGGTTCTGTTTCTAAATTTTATATTTCTGAATTCAAATTACATTTTAAAAATTTATTTTTAAAATTGTTTCTAAAATGTCATAAAGTTAGATATCTGTTTTGTTGCTGTCATTTTCTTATTTAAAAGAGAGAATCTAGCACCTCTATATATTAATCAACGCCATTCAAATCTGAAATCTCTCATGAGTGGGTTTCTGCCATAGGTAGGGTTTTCCTTTATTTTTTAATACTACATACTTGTAATTGGACAAAGCATTAGATGGAGAGGTATTTCACAAGTGTTTCAAAGCTTTTCCCTTCTGTTTTGATCCATCTGTCTTAAATACAATCAGCACATGATGCATATGGCTTGTTTGGGGAAGGGGAGATTTTATTGGGGTAGTAACTTTTGGGACTGTACTAGTACTCCACGCTTTTTTTCCTGTCTTCTTGGCTTCCCTGCTATTGAGTTCACATGTATGGACATCATACTTACTGTGTTGTGAAAATGATGGGTTGCTCTGTAAAATGGAAATCTTTTCACAGTGACAAGTCACCATCCAGTCTCTACTTGGTTATGTAAACCAGATGCTGCAAGTTGTTGTGTGATGGCAGGAGATGATTTCCTTGCCTCGCTTCCTTGCTTTTGGTCATTTTGTTCTAGGTATGGGACATCAAATATTTCCATGTCACTGCATAAGAGATTCCAAATAACTTGTTCCATCTCATAAATCAGACTTGAAGACTTTATGTTATTCTTCGGACTTGAGATTTCCAACAGCTGGCAATACTGATACCTAAACCTCTTTTGTTCTGGAAGCTTATTGTTCTCCAGGAAACAGGAATATTTCTCATTTGTTTTTTCACTGATAATTAGGACTGGTGGTGTCAACAGCCATTTCAAAACAGTATTATTGGCTTCTGGTTGATGAGGTCCTTATTCACAATTTCATAATTCTTGGGATTTTTTTCCCTCTTCTACTCCAAGGAGTGAAACCCCATCAGTGCCAAATCTGTGGGAAGACATTTTCCCAGAGTGGTAGCAGAAATGTGCATATGAGGAAACACCACTCCCGAATTGGAACATCTGGCAGCAGAGAGCGAGAACAGCCAGGTAAGGAAGGGAGGGCACTCTCTGTGGAGAAGTGCAGGAAAGAATTAGTAGATGGTCAAAGAGAAGGGAGGGAATTTGTCCTGAAAATATGAGACCACAAGCCAGTAAGGAATAAAAGACTGTTCCTCTTGGAGATGAGGTTGGATTACTCGCCCTCCCCTTTTCTAGGATAGAAGACAAAGGTGTGTTTCTGTATTGTAGTCAAGATTTATTGTTTTCATAATTATTGTGAATCTAGCATATTTTTTTTACATGGAATTTGTGCCCTTTGTTATGTATTCTTGTTGTAAGTAGCCTGTTTTTTTATGTGATGTGAATTATTTAAAGAGAAAGCCAAGCCTGCATGAGATCCTGCCATACTAAGGCTCCAAACAATAAATATAGGTGTTACCATCCATTGGAGCGCCAGATGCCTACAGAGCAGGAACGGATGAAGTAGGTGTCTAGGGAAGAAGTCTATGTGGCTTGGAGGGGGGCAGGGATTGTATCTTACATTGCAGTGTCATTACTGAGAATTTTGGTTTACCTTTTTTTTTTTTTTTTCACAATAGAGTCACTGATGGGCAGCAGTTTGCTGGAAGAATCTACAGTCCATAGTAAGAATCTCATCTCCATGAACTCTCAGCCCAGCCTTGGTGTTGAGTCTCTGCACCTGCCAGACACTGAGTCTATTATTGGAGTAGAGGAGGGTGAGACCAGCTGCTCTTTTTTCCGCCCTCTTATATGTGGTGACTGAAGTGGGATCGATCATTTCTCCTAGAGGCTCACCATGTTGCAGTGGGATGAGTGAACATTGCTTTAACTGTGCACAGAGCGGGTGGGTAGATGGAGAATGGGGCCAACTGGAGTTGGAGAAGACCTACTGGACCAAGTTTCTCTCTTGCAGAGCTTAAAAGGTGAAGTCTGCTGCTTAGGTGTCATTTAGCCCATGCCATGGAACGCCATTTCAAAACTGTTTATGCAGTCCATTCTCCTAAACCCTAAAGCGTTTGTTTTGCTGGAGCACCTAGGAGCCCCAGTTAAGGACCAGGACCTCATTGTGCTAGGCACTGTACAAACATTCAGTATCTTGAGCAACAGGCCTTCCTTCCATCCTTTACCTTCAGAGACTATATTCTAATACATCTCACTGTCAGAAGCTGACTTACTATCTGAAATAAATGTACTACTTGATATCATTTAATTACATTTGCTGTGTTCTTTTCCTGCCTTTCACAGTCACTTTTTCCTCCAAAATTTGTTTGGTACATCAAGCTCTTTAAATTAGTTTACCATGTAGATGTTTTGAATTTTTGTTAACTTAAAAGACTTTCTTCAGAATTAGCATTACTAAGAATGCAGAGTTTTGCTAAGATGCTGTGCACCTACAGTGGCTTCTATGTGAAGAGAATGCTTTGAGCTGAATGTAAAGGTTGTGCTGCTGTTGGTAAATGTATTGTAATTTGGAGGTTCCTGCAGAAGCTCCCCCAGGTACCCGTGAATCAGGATCTGATGTGAATCATAGAATAGTTTGGGGTGGAAGGGACCTTTAAAGGTTATCTAGTCCAACTTCCCTGCCATGAGCAGGGACATTTTCAACTAGATCAGGTTGCTCAGAGCCCCATCCAACCTGACCTGAACGTTTCTAAGGATGGCACATCTATCATCTCTGAGCAACCTGTGCCAGTGTTTCACCACCCTCATAGTGAAAAATTTCTTTCTTACTTCTAGTCTAAATCTTACCTCTTTTAGTTTAAAACCATTACCCCTTGTCCTATCGCAACAGACCTTACTAAAAAGTCTGTCCCCATCTTTCCTGTAGGCTCCCTTTATGTAGTGAAAGGCCACAATAATGTTTCCCTGGAACCTTCTCTTGTCCAGGCTGAACAACCCCCACTCTCTCAGCCTTTCCTCATAGAAGAGGTGTTCCATCTCTCTGATCATTTTTGTGACCCTCCTCTGGACCTGTTCCGACAGATCAGTGTCTTTCCTGTGCTGAGGACTCCAGAACTGGACACAGTACTCCAGATGGGGTCTCATGAGAACAGAGAAGAGGGGCAGAATCACCTCCTTGGACCTGCTGGCCCCACTTCTTTTGATGCAGCCCAGGGTGCGGTTGGCTTTCTGGGCTGCGAGCGCGCATTGTTGGCTGATGTCCAGCTTTTCATCCACCAGTACCCCGAGTCCTTCTTGGCAGGGCTACTCTCCATCCCCTCATCCCCCAGCCTGTATTGATACCAGGGGTTGCCCTGGCCCAGGTGCAAGACCTTGCACTTGGCCTTGTTGAACCTCATGAAGTTCATGTGTGCCCACTTCTCGAGCTTCTTGGGTCCCTCTGGGTGGCATCCCATCCTTCAGACGTGTCAACTGCACCACTCAACTTGGTGTCTGCAAACTTGCTGAGGGTGCACTCGATCCCACTGTCTGTGTCACTGATGAAGCTATTAAACAGTACTGGTCCCAATACGGACCTAAGGGACACCACTTGTCACCAATCTCTATCTTGACAAGGCCACTAGGTTGTGGTTGTGGTTTGGCTACCATCTTATCAGTTGATAGGAGATTTTCTAGTGAGATGTCTTCTTTACTACAGTATTTTTATAGGTTAGTTGAACAGGATGTAATTCTTTTCACTAAAAATAACAAAATATTTTCAAAAAATGCCAAAATAACAGAGCAAAAATGGAAATTATTTATACCACTTTTGAGCTATATTAAGAGATTATAAAATTCTTTTAGGATTACAGAAATGTAATCCTGCTTTCAGAACAACACTTCATTTAGCAAGAAAGGTGCTACTGAGTTTCAGTTACTTAGTCTGATGCTTTTACTTTCATCACCATTTCAGCAATTTTTGTCAAGGGACCAATATTAAGACTTGGATTTACCTGTTACTGTATTCATGCATGTCACCTTAGTATTTGTTAAAGGGATATGGCATAATATCATATATTAATTTAAAGTCAAACCTTTGATCCTCCTTTCTCAAGGTTTTCGTTTACACTTCACATACTTGGAAATTTCTTTTTCCAGCATCATCAAGTAGTATTATGGGAATTAGCAACCAATTTTAGTAAATACCCCTTAAAATGTATGTATTAACATTTCACTCCCATTGCTGCAGATACATTCATACAAGCCCGATGGGCTGTAGACCACAGACTTGGAGCATGGAAGAAATCTTCTTTCCTTCCTCTTTCAATGTGACGAGGCATGGTGACAATATGATTACAGCACTGCTCTTTTCCAGGCGAAACAGGAGAAAGAACAGCCTTTGCGTGTCCTGCACCATTAAACCTATGTAGAAACCAGTACACTGGGAACAGCCTTCCCCGAACCCTCCCAGGTGCTTAAGCTTCTTCTCAGTGGGAAAAGCCTCTGGAGTGAAGGAAGTATTTCCAACTCGTTGGGAACTGGACTGCATTTCAATCTGTGACACAGCACTCTGCATATGCAGTGTGTAGAAAGCTGTTCGACTGGAAAAGGAGGAAAAAAGGAAAAATACAAGCCTAAACTTAGATTTGTTGGAAATTCTTCGGGTCAGTAAGGAGGACCACTGCAAACCAATGCATTCAGCTATCTTATCAGCATGAGCTGATCTCTGTGAAAGCATAACATAGCAGCCTGAAACCCTGGGGCCATGAGTTCTTGGATCTAGTACTTTGTTACGATCAAAAATGTCTTGATCTCAGTTTTATACCTTTATCTATTGTGGTAGCTCTTACAGGTACTGTATTTCTGATTTGATGATGAGGCTTTGTTGTTACAGTGTAAAGATAAATGGATTGAGGTAACAAAGATGAAGAGAGACACAGCTTCCATTTTAAAAGTGAGGAAAAGAGGATTGATAAAGAAATTGGACAAAGCAGAAACATTGATAGCCATGTAAAAATCTTTTAATCTCAAAGTGCTTTGATATCATAATTATCAGAAAACATTCCAGATGGTAAGGGTTTGTATTTTTGAGATTGTTATTACTGTCAGGTAAAGGAAGACCACTAACGTATGAACTACACCATTTAAGACGCACCAGGCATTTGAGTGCAACATGCTGACAGGTAATACCTAATCTTTCTTCCACTGAAGTCCATCTTTGGTAAAACATTAAAACAGTTTCTAATAGTGAAATATGGGAGATATTTTAATATAGAAAGACAATTGCTTCTTCCTAATGGGAGGAAGGAGCAGAGCTGGTAATGAGTGAATGAAGAGTTAACACCAGAGAAGGACTTCCCTCTGAGTCTTCTCCCAAGGTAGGTCAAATCTTGGTGGTTTTTTTTTTGTTCTTTAATACCTTTTTAAAAAACATTCTACCATATATATGTGTGTAAACCAAGGTTTAGCACCCTGAAAGGCATTTTCCCCTTTCTGTGTGCTTCTGCGGCATGAACACAAGGGAATGCACCTCTTCAGTCTTTCATATCTACTTTTATCCAAAAGTCGTGCTTCAACCTTTTAAACTTGTTTTGTTGCCCATGAAAAAAAGGGAAATGGCTCACATGGGGAACACTTGTGAAGACTAAGGGAGGCTGCAGGCTTTGCTGGGTTGAAGAAGACATGCTCTAAACAATAGTTGGTCTTTCCTTCCTTTCTGACATCTCACTTACCCCAGAGAAATACTTAGGTATCAGCCCAAACCAGAAAGTTCCTGAGGATGAACCTGGAGAATCTTGAGTTAAAAAAAAATCAAGAGATGATCAATGGATTCTTCCGCTAGATCTTATGTTGCCATTTCCTTTCCACTCTGTTCCTCTTGAGGTTCTCCTTCCTGTACAGTACAGTTGTCCTTTTCACCCCGAGGCTTGGGCGCTCTGCAGAAATAGTGATTGTCTAATAGCAGAAATGGTTTGCAGTGTTTACTTGCTGCTTTGCCCCATGCATAAGAAATAGAGTGCAACCATAGCAGTTAAGATAAAGAAGCCGTAATGCTTAATAAGAGGAATGAAGTTGATTTAATTTTACCTACACTAGATGATACAAACTGGAACGCTTTCATGAACAAGGAAAATATTTCTACTTAAAGGCAAAAGAGTTGTATTGCATTGTTTTTATTACCTGTGAACGTCAGATTCTTCTTCTAGCAAGTCAGTGGCATCTTTCCCTTTTTTCCTTACAAATTCTTCACTTAGCCCAACCTGCTGGAGGGTGTGTCTGTAGCGACGCTCTGCTCCTTGACGAGCATCATGCTATGAAATTGAAACTTAAACAGTAAGCACGTAGAACGGGGGCATCTCCATAATGGTCAAGTTGTTTTCAAGTTCACGGCTGACAGTCCTAAACCAACTGAATACTAAGAGAATGTCTCACAACTCTCAAAGCTGGAGCTCACCTTGTCCTGCTCCTGTTCTTTTTTTCTTCCCCCTTCTGTTCTCCTGCTTCTTCAGCATTCCATTCTTACCAGACTAGCATACTTGTGTCTGAGTCCTGACTCTGACACTCAAAATTGAGAATATGTGCAAAAAAGGGTTGTGAGAAATTCTGGAAGCATGTTTGCTTGTAATCTGTAAGCACTAACTACAGTGGAGTTTTAAACAGAGCCTTGAGATCGCTTCATATCAGGTAATCTTCTGGAAACTGAAAACCAAGCATCCTGAATCCTATATCCTCACTGCCTCCCCATAAACATTACAAATTAATGTGGTCTGAGATGACAGTTTTCCAGAGGGACTGGCCAGTTTCTAAAGATTAAGGTGTTCTATATGGAAGGATAGAAATCTTCTCTCAGCATGAGTGAATGCTATTGATACTGGTGAATTCTTACCAACCTGGCAAATAGAAATGTTACCAATATTTATCATACAAAAGTGTTCTCTGCCTCCATCAACCACTCACCTGAACAAAAAAACTGACCCAGGAGGGTGCTTTCTATTGAGAAATCTTAAACCAGCATATTGTCAATGTGCTGTCACTATGTCTCTAACCAGATATCATCCCTGCAAGGAGACAGAACTGAAAGAGAAAACTCAGGGGAAAAGATACTTTATAGAGAGTAAAGTTTGTATCTACACCTCAAGTGCAATAGAGATTTGCAGGTGGTACTGTGTGGTGGACGAGCTGTGCTGAACACAACCCCAGGCAGCACAGCTTGGAGGTGATATAAGTGACTTAAATGCCATTAATGTTTTTCTAGTAGCACTAGAGGTACAAAGAAAAAGTGCTCAACTAGACAGAGTTTTAAGAAAAAAAGTTTAAAATTTGTAGACTGTAGGCTATGGTATTCAGATGCAGAATAGGTATTCATACAATTTCTGGTGTGATAAGGGCCTTAATTTTGATCAAACTGTATATTTTGATTGCAATATGTGCAGGGACTAGAAAAGCTCTACAACCAAGAGGTAAGTCTGAGTGTTTTTCAAGTGATGGGAAGGAATTTAAATTACACTTGGGTGGCCTTCCAGGTGTTATTTTGAGTGTAGTCAAGAGACTATTCAACCATTTGCACCTTCTTATTTGTGAATTACTTGAGACTAGATTTCTTAATGCCTGTCTTAAATGAAAGACAATGTATCCTGGCACCCAGAAACACTGGAGCTTTGACCAGTTACCTTGGTGACCTGTTCAAAGAGGTACGGTCTGTTCTTGACTCGCAGCTGCATTTCTTCCAGCTCCTTTCTGTATTCCTTTGTTCTCTCTCTCATATTTTGCCTGAAATACAAAAGTTGCCTGTCTAATACAAGTTCCTTCTGACTATAGCTGATTAGGAACAAGGAATTCTCAATAACTGTTTTGTCCTTTAAATAGCTCTGGTAATTCTCTTGATTCCAAATGCTGGGCAAAACATTGCTATTGCTGGTAATATGGATCCATTAGCAAAGCTTTACAACTAGACTGTAAGCAGAGAACCAGTGTTCACATTTTTAGAAAACCTTGTCTTTTGTGTGCTTTACCAAATTATACATTTCAGTTGGCTTGTTTGTACAAATCAGTTTCTAAAAATGTTAATCTAAGGGAAACTTCCACATGGAAAAGAGTAGTGTGGAATTGTCAAGAAACCAAAATGAATGTGGAATGGGTATGACAGCCAAAAAAGTTACGCTAGGAATGTTCTTAGACCCAATTCCTCCTAAAGAATTATCTGATGATCCCCAGTTAGTAAAACAGTTATTTCTGTGCAGAATAGGGTACTGACCGGTTCTGTTTCAATTTCTCCTTGTGTGTTTCCTCCAGACTTTTATGTGGATCCAGGGCTTTTGCTCGACTGTTCACTGACTTTTGTATAGTTTGACATTTCTTTTTCTGTTTCTCCAGCCAATAAATTCCTTCTTTGTCCCCTTCCTTTTTGTTATCTTGGGAGTATCTATAGAGAAAAAAGTTAGTAATAAGCTCACTTAAGACTGCCAGACTGCATGCTACCAGGGAATTTCACTTTTGTAGTCCTCTAAGGAGAAAAGCAAAATTTCAGACATATACGCGTGCAGTTCCCAAATCAATTGAGAGGCAAGGCAAGAATTAGCAAAGAAAGAAGACAGAGAAACATTCGGGAAAAGTATTGTCGATGTAGCTGATGTGATGAGGGAAAACATTGACTTTTTTTCCTCCATTTTGGTCACTAGTTGGTGTATGGTCTTGTAGATAAACTTCTACTTACCTAATAGCAGATTCCCTTTTTCTAGTTGCATCTGTAATATGCACTGGAAGGGTGTTGGAAGAGAGAGAGGAAAGTCCAGTCAGAGAATGACTTTTTTGCACTGAAACTTTGGAAAGTTGCTGAGAATCCTGAAAAAAAATGGAACTTCATTCAGTGTATTTGTTCACAATACAGAATCTCCTCTGTTCTTTGGCTACCAAAGTGAACAGTTGGGGTATGTGGGCCATGCACTCATTCTCTCTTCCATCAGTAGGGATTTACATGGGGAGGGGTTGAGGGGAAGGAGAAGTGATTAGAAGTATGGGAGGGTGGCTGAGCCTTAGCTGTCATAGATCATCTCTTTATGTAGAATTTTGTTCTCTGGTTTGTCCTAGAATTCTGCATTACTCCCAAAACAAGGGCAGAGGTCACAGGACATCAAGCACCCATAAATAATGCTATAAATTTAAGAAGGTGACACCTTGGTTAGAAAAAGCAGTACCACAGAAATATCCAATCATCTCACCTTTATCTTTTCATTAGCCTGCCTCTGCCTGCCACGGAGATTGGAGGTTCTTAGCTTGAATGGCTTATTACGAGTTGCCTCTTTGATTTCTTGTCTCCTTACTGCTTCCCTCTGAAATGCCCAGTAAAGTCCTTCAAAATCCGGTACTGTTGGATTAATTCTCGGCTTGAAGCTGAAACTTTTGTCCTGCAAGAAGCCAAGTCTTTCCTGCTTAGTTTTAGTAGCAGTTCGGGACTGAGGATCCCTCCGACAGTTGCTAGTGTCTATAGGAGCTACGGAGCTCTCAAGCAAATCCTTTGCTCTCATTCGAATGCGAATTTCTCGGTAGAGTTCAGCTTCTAATGAATCAAAAGCAAAGCAATGACAATTATATGAGTGACAGAAAAGACTGTGAAATTGCCACTGCACAACTCTAAACTTTCCTTTATGATGGCACCTACACATACAGGAGAGACCAGACATCCTGTGTTCTGTTTCCCCACTTTCCAGCCTCTCTCTCCTCTGCCTTCTATGGAAAAAAAATTAAAGATACCATAAAAGCCATGGTAGAGTATCTTTCTTATGCATTAATCCCTACATATGTCTTTCACTTAGGAGAGTAAGTTACAGAACAGGTCTTCTCCTCCTATTCCTGTTCTTGGGGGTACGAGATAACTTGTGCCCTTAGTCTTGCAGATGTGTTGTGTTAATAAAGGTTCTACTTCCCATATGGGACTTTATGTCATTATGTTGACTGTGTGATCCAAATGGGCTGTTCAGATATACCTGTAATGGATGATGGCTTTTCTGTGTAATATCCAGCAGTGTTTGTCTATATTGGAAAAGATTTTAAGTAAGGAGCATTTGGTGGATGTATCATCTCTTCTGACTTCCGTGACAAACTTTTGATAGAAAGAATGTGTTTCAGGGTATGGCATCAGAGTCCTTTCCTGTGCAACACTAAATACTTGAGAAAATGCAGACAAACAGTTGGCTGTGGGGTTTTTGATTTTTTTTTTCTTTTAGAAAAATATCAATACTGCAGTTTGCAAAATAAAACTTCTTCTGAGTCTATTTATAAGTTTGCATTGACTGAGGTATGAAATATTCATTCCTCCTCCCTTCTCCTATACCAGATAGAAACAGAACAATGGCTTGTCCTTTGCTCTTTTACCTTTCTAATCTATTTAGTTTAGTAGACCACAACAGAATGTTTTCTGATGAAAACTGAACTGGTGTCTACTCATGAAGAAATCAGTGGGAAACATTAAAAAAAAAAAAGAAAGGGTGAGAAAAGCAATGAGAATTATCCAGGACTGGTTTAGTTTCTGCAGTCAAGTGTGAAGTCTGTATGGCTAACTTCAAACTTACAACTGTGGGGGCTTAAGCCAACTGAAAGAGAGCATCAGGAAAATTTCCTTGGCTGTCCCTCTGACTAGAATGGTCCTGGCACCTACCTCCCTTGTTTTAGCACTTAATAAGAAGGTGGAGAGCGAGTGGGAAGGTAACTGAAAATATGAGAGAATGGCACAAGAGACTGGACTAGTGCACTATCACTTAGAACCAAACTAATAGCCTGATTTGGGCTCAGAAAATCGTTTTCTCCTAGGGGTCCCGTGCAGCACAGATCACTTGGGTGGGAGTAAAATTGTCAGTTCCAAGATACTGTGTGGACCTTGGACACTTCTGGCACAACATCTGTCTTCACGTTTGTGCCACAAATCATCTATGTCCCTTTAGCATAACCAAAGCTACGGAATCCAGTGCAGGAAAGGATTCCCAGACTGTCATGACTTGCAGCAAAAGGGGTATGAAAATCTGTCTGAAGAGCTCAATGTACCTATGTGTGCTGGGGAGTGGTACAGAATTGCTGCTGCTGACATTGACACAAGACTACTAAAGTTAGGGCACTACTGCAAGGGTATCTAGATGAAATGTAATGCCCAGTTACACACAAAAGACTAGACAACACCAGGGAATGTAATGATATTGGCTTTATACTCCAAGTAATGCCCTATAGGCCATGATCCTACCTCCCAGTATGGAGACAGCAAGGGACAGGCAGGGAGTTGTTTTTACAGGAAGAGCCCTGGCATTTTACCTTTGAGTTTATCTCCAAGAAGTGGGTCATAAGTAGATTTAGGAACTTTTTTACTGGCTTGCTTCTGTTTGGAGCTGTCATTTGGGGATGCTGCTGCCAGGAACTTTTGTCTGATAGCTTCTTTCTTTTTCTCCTCCTTCTCCAGGAAACTGAAGGGCCGCTGGGTTGAAAGTAGCAGCTCCTTTCTTTTCTGTGTTGCTATTTGCCTGCGAATCTCATTCTGCTCCATTATTTCCTGATAAAGGGGCAGAAATACATGGGCAGGTACAGGCTGTGCCCGGAACTGTTTCTGACATTCAGCTTCGTCCTGGCTTTGCCTTTTGTCTCTCTGTTTGTCTAGTTCAAGAAACATGTATGACTTCATCAACTGGGACTTTTTGCGAGCTTCCCGCAGTGTCATTTCAAAAGGCTGAGGGATGGTGATGGAAGGAATCCAGGGAGATGAAGCACTTTTTGGCTGCAAGCGGGATTTAGGAAACAAGTGAGGCTTTTGCTGATCCCAGGTACTGTCCGAGGTGAGGTCGATCAAAGAACTGGACTGCCTTTTGTTACCAGATGTAAGACTATGACAAAGACAATGTGAAGGGGAAATAAGGGAAATTATTTAAAAAAAAAACCAAAAAAACCCCCAGAATTAAAAGAACGGAGACATTGTTGATTAAGACACCACAGGCCAAGATGGTCATTAAAAAACAGGCTTAGGGCTTATCATTCTCAGGCTCTATATTTTGCTTTGCTACCAAAGTTCATGAGCAGAGCTTTGCCTGTTTTCCATTTTCTATGTATAAAATGGCAGTTATGCCTACTTAGCTTTGTAATGCCATTTACTATGCTGCTAGCACTCTATTGCCAGAAAGGCCACAAGTAAACGAGAAAGTTCCAACTTTAGGAATATGTGGCTGATAGCTACTCAACGTAAAAGACAAACTCAGGAGAGGCAATAAATTAAGCACACAGATGCAGAAACCCTAAGGAACAGTACCAAACACCAGAATTCCTAAGACGCTGATGGAAGGCCCATTGCAAGGAAGTGCTTTAGTGCAACTCTTAAGAGGTCCAGCTGGAAACTTTGTAGCTGATAAGAAGACCATATAACTGATAATAAGAAAAAACCCCGAAGACTATCATGGGTCTCACTGAAATAGCAAACTTCTCATAGGACGTTTGAGGGTGATTGTGAAACTTAGATATTTAGGAAAGGAATAAATGCAGGTAAAAGGAAGGATCAAGGTGGAGCAGGGGGGACCAAGAATAGGAAAATGGGAAAAAAGGGGGAAACAGAAGGTGCTGATCATGTATAAACAGGCTCCTGGTCAATACACTTGCCTGGTGATTACTGCAGTCTGTTCTTCATAAACTATTTCCTTTGTAAGAGCATGCATGCATACCTGATCTGCTAGTGCTCTTCCAAGCTGGACTAACCACAGAGAAAGACAAGAGGTCTGAGAGCTAGATGCTGGAGACACCGAAGCTCTGAAGACTGGACACTGGATAGAAATGTGTGTAAATCTGCTAGCAAATTTTAAGCGTGATTAGTGGACAAGCAGAAACAGGATTTGTGCTGTTCATGTTTTATGCAAATGCAGTTTACGTGGGCACCTGTTGGCCCCATCCTCCCATCTGTGAATGCATTTGTGGCCACCATTTTGGTACTATATACGTGCATCTTGGGACTTCATGCTCTGCCTCGTCACTGGTCAGAAGCACCAGGAATCCCCTGTGCCATTTTGCTATCCTTACCAGGTACCATCCTACCTGAGAGCCTGCCACAGCTTGTCACGCAGGATTGCCGCCTCCCGCCTGAAACCCTCGAGTTCCTCATCCTCTTCGGATACCCCGAGGTCACCCTTTAACTTCACCTGGTATGTTAAGCCCGGTTCTAATGGAGACCGCCGGCCTCCCATCCTGAGAGGCTGCTCTCAGCTCCTCGCCTGGTGGGGGGAGAGGCAGGAG